GATAGTTTGCATATGTAAGGGAGAGGAAGAGGCTGCTTGCCGCCATTCCTCCCTTTTGTGTGCTTGTTGATTCAGCTGTGTTCTGCCACCATGAGCTATAGCCCTCTGCCATGTGCCACTCTGCCTTGTAACCTGTCAAGTATGGACTAAAACCTCTACAAACTGTAAGCAAAATAAACCCTTCCTTCCTTAATTTTGGGCATCAGGTATTTTGTCCCAGCAACGAGAGAAAAGTAGCTAAGACAAATCCAAAAAAGAAAATTAAGAAAATAAATTTATTTACAATAGTACTGAAAGTAATATAATAAGGAGGAATAAATTTAACAAAACTCCAAAACTATAATCTGAAAACTATAAAACACTAAAGAAATTAAAGACTTGAAGGAATGAAACAACGTTCTTAGATTGGAAGGCTTAATACTGTAAGCTGGCAGTATTCTCAAACTGACAACTGATTCAAAGCAATGCCTATGAGAATTCCAAAGATTTCTCCCTTGAACTTGGAAAGCTGAGCTGGGTGTGGTGGTGTATGCCTGTCCTACTAGGTATTTAGGACGTCTGATCTCAGGAGCGCAAGGTAAGCTGGGCAACATGGCAGGATTGTGCCTCAAAAAATGGAAGGAAAGAAGGGAAAGAGGAATGATAAAAAAATTCCAAGGCGTAAAAAATAGTAAAAATTATACTGGGAATGCTCATACTTCCTAATTTCAAAACTTACAACAAAGCATTGATAAGTAGGACTCCACAGAGACATGCATCAATGGAAAAGACATGAGAGGCATGCGTCCGTGGTCAGCAGTTTTTAAAACAGTGCAAAATCACTGAAAAGAAGAAGAATTGTATGTGTGTCTGTGTGTGTTATGCGTGCGTGCGTGCGCGCGTGCACGCGCACGCACACACACACACAACACACACACACACACAGAGTAGAACCCAGGCCTTTGAGCTACAACCCTGGCCAAAGAATGGTCTTTTTAACAAATGACGCTGGAAAAATGTACACTCAAACACAAAGAATGATTTTTGACCTTTACCTCACATTATGCATAAAAGTTACTCAAAAATCAATTAAAGACTGAAGTATAAGAACTAAAACAATAAAATTCTTAAAGAAAAACACTTGAGATAAACTATTTTATGACCTCAAATTTCTGGACACCAAAACCACAAGTAATGACAAAAAATAATAATCTTTTTACTGTCTCTATATTTTTGCACTTTCCAGAATATTATATAATTAGTATCATATGGTATAAAGTGTTTTCAGAATGGCTTTTTTTTTCCTCTTATGAATATAAGTTTCCTCCATGTATTACCTTGGCTTGACAACCATTCTTTTTTGCATTAATAATATTTCACTGTCTAAATGTACAGCTTATTTATGCATACATCGACCAAGTGTTACCTTGGTTGGTTCCAAGCTGTGCCAATGACTATAAATGTAAAAAGATCACTGGTTGCCAGGAGTTGGAAAGGAGGTAAAGCACAAATGATTTCTAGGGCAATGAAGAGAGTCTGTGTGATACTAATGGTGGATATAAATTTGTCCAAACCCATAGCAAGCATAACACCAAGAATGGACTCCTGAACTATTTAGACTGGACAATAATGACATGTCAGTGTAAGTCCATCAACTGTTACAAACATTACTCTGGTATACAGATGCCAATTATGGGGACAGGCTATGTACAGCTACACAATTTTCTGGTGAACCTGATACTGCTCTAAAACAAATCAAGACTTTAAAAATAAAGATCAGTTGGGCTCCATCAAAATTTAAAAACCTTATGCAAAGAGCATTACACTTTCCAGAAAATAAAAAGACAACGTACAAAATAAGAGAAAAACATTTACAAATCATCTATCTACCATAAGTCTGGTATCCAGAATGCATAAAAACCCCTTAAAGCTCAGAAAAAAAAAAAAAAAAAAAAGACAGCCCAATGAAAATGCAGGCAAAGGATTTAAATGTACATTTCCCTCCAAGAAAGAATGAAAATCCCTAATAAGCCCAGGGAAATATGCTCAACATCATTAGTCATTAAGGAAATGCACGTCAAAAGTACTCAGTAGGATAGCTACAAGAATTCCCAGAAATAAGCATCAAGCCTGGCACACAGAACTTTTTTTTAGTAAATGGTTTTTTTCTCCTTACAATCAGAAAAGCTTCTACATCCATCCTTCATTGTAAGTGTATTTTGAAGGTACATATTTTTCTATGAAATACCTCATGTAAGTAGTATAGTCTACAATTATTCTGCTCTATGTATGCAATACTATTTCTTTTACTTGATTTTCACTAACCATTGTGAAAATTTCATAGGAAAATTCAATTCTAATAAAGATTTCTGAGATTTGACATATTAAGTCTGCATTTTATGGACTCTGCTCACAAATCCTCCAGACTGAGAAGTTCACACTTTTCAACTTCATGTATAGAACAAAGATAGTTTATTTCCGTTTTTTCAGATTCAGGTCTTTCTTGAGATACACCCTTAAAATGCCCAAAGAGACTTCAGATTGAAATTTCCGAAGTTTATGACAATGAAACTACAGTGAATAAAACTTCAGTTTTCGGGGCTGGGGATTTAGCTCAACGGCAAAGCGCCTGCCTGGCAAGCGCAAAGTCGTGAGTTCAGTTCCCGGTACCGGAGAAAAACCAAAAAAAAAAAAAAAAAAAAAACTTCAGTTTTCTAAATTCCTCAAGGAATAAGTTATCTGAGATGGGTAAATATTTCTTACAGTGAACACTGTGAGTGCTATATTTTATCATAATTTTAAGAGAAATGTTTTAAGTTACAAACTTACCAAGATCACATCTACAAACATCCTCTAGTAACCTTTCAACTTTGAGAATATGACTTTTTCTTTTTTTTTTTTTTTGTATTTCTTTGCTAGGACCGTATTCCCTAAGCTTGCTCTGTTTCATGAACAGCCAAATATAGCAAGAAAATAAGGAGCTAATCACAACATGGCTGAGTTATACACAAGAACATAGCTCCATATTTTTTAAAAAAAAACATTAATAAAGCACTCTAAATCATAAGGTTTCACAACCCCAGCCCAAAGATCCGAAGACTATATGTACTGCGGAGATGTGCAATCAACTAGACTCAGACAAGACATCCTAACATTTTCAGTACATTTTAAAGTTTAAGTATTTCCCTAAACATTTAACTGCACAGCATGCTTTAAAATATAAATGTATTATACATATATTCATGTGCCTTTATGATTGAAATGTCTGCAATTGCAAAGCAATTTTTTCTAAGCAGCAATTCATTACTTTCCATAGTATAGATCCTAACTCCAAAAATTGCTCCTCCAAATATGTTTTTTAATTCCTTTTGACTTACAGATGGATCTATCGGCCCACCCCTCAGATAATCAGAATTCCACATTTTTTTTTCTCCCTCAGCAATAGATTCAAATTCAAAATGGAAAGAGACTGAAAAATGGCAACAACCAACCAGTTAATTTATTTTCTTAGGCTACCGTTAGCCTCAACCATCAAGTGGTTGTGTAGACACCGCAGCTTTAATTTCTATAAACTGGCCCCTTTGAAACTACTCACTTCCTCACAGAATACTAGAAATCTTGACTCCCAGGAATGTAGTCATGTGAGCCGTAATACTAAGGGAAATTCAGATTTTCTGTTTATCGTACATACTAATGCTGAACTTACAGCTTATCATTTGGAATTACAGATGAGAGGACATTGTACACATCTTTATTAAGTACTAAAAATGTTCCAAGTTATTATTAACCATCAGCATTTCAACCTTCTGGCAAAAGTCTGGTGTTATAAATTACTAAGCTAATCAAACAGTAACAATAAAGATAATTATAATCACCACAACTACCAAACCCAAAAGCACTAAGACCTTGGAGGTATAGATATTGACCTAGCACCTGCAGAGCTAAACAGGCTCCTGTCTCCACTGAACACAAGCTCTATGACCTAGCACAAGTTACATTACATTTATCTATAATAGAAAGACAACTTCTAAATTTCCTCTAAGTCCCCTTACCTCTTTAGACCTAATGCCCCAGAAATCTATGTGGTGAATAATGAATGGCAGTGTCAATCCTCATATATGTGTTTTAATCCAAGACTCAAATACATACTTCCCAAATAGTTGGCCAATACTACAATTCTACAAAGCCAACATTGACAATCTTTTAAAAAAAATTTTTATGCAAAGAATCTTCATAATAGGCTAAACATTATTTAGAAACTATTTCAGTAGGTATTTATGTAGCACTAATTATTAAGTAGTTATATTCAAAATGTAAACAGGTTTAAGCAAACAAATAAACAAGTTCACATGGAACACTAAATATTTTCAATCCTTAACATACTAGTATGTTATATGTTCTAGGTTTTATTTTATAACACAAAGTAAAGTTTCAGTAGACTACATTAACTTTTATTTTGTTTTGGTTTTGGTAGTACTGGGACTGAATCCAGGGTCTTTGCACTGACCTACATCCTCAACCCTTTTTCATTTTTATTTTGAAACAGGATCTCACTAAGTCAGTAAGTTGACCACGCTGGACTTGAACTTGTGGTCCTCCTGCCTCAGCCTCTCACAGTACTCAGAGTGAAGGCAGGTACCACTATGCCCCACCAAGAAAATCTGCTTTTATAATTCCTTTTTTCTACTGGGCTAAGAATCACTATAACAAATGTTTTTAGAAACATCACTGCACCTGACATCAACCCCCATAAGCATATGAACTTTGTACAATACAAAATTTCACTTTGCTCAGAAACATGACTTGTCATTCTGCAACCAAGAAAGGAAGAATGTGGGACCATCAAACTGAAGCACTGGTCTTACACACATCTGCAACTCTCAAAGCCACTCCTTCAGCTAATCCAGCTCCCTGAACACATCACATACCCGTACCTCAGGCATCAAATGATCCATACAGTAAATTTTTCAGTACAACCAGTCCTAAGAAGAAAATTCAAACACAGGACTCCAGGGATCTACCTCCAAAACATCCTGCTCTCTCCAGGTTGTAAATCTCATCACAGGAAACTGCAGTTCTGCCTCCCAGTAGGCTCGACTCTGTACAGTTAGAGGCTGTCAATCTCCACTTGTGCAGTAGACCTAGCATGATGCCGCAACACATAGCAACCATTGTTTTAAAAAATTAAGCATTGATCCAAGCTGAAAATAGAAAAAAAGTACCTTGTAACAGTATCATAATATAAAATGGTATATAATTTTTCAAACTCAACTAAAAACCTTACTGTGTTTTATGCCCAGCAGCATTCAAGGAAGTACAAAAGGGGGAGGGTAGCACACATAGCGCCTCCCCGCCGGGGTGCTGGAAGGGAAGACAGCAACAGGAGGCACATGCATAGCTGTCAGAAACCAAGAACACAGGGAATGCAGTTGGAGGGAAAAAGACAGGAGGAAGGCAAGACAGAGGATAGGCAAAACAAGGAAAATGATTAAGCATATAAAAATGCTAAGGATAACCAGAATCAGGTATCTCACTACTGTAGCAGGTATTTAACACACAGAACCAGTGAACGCTAGAGAGGACCCTAAAGTGTTAGATTGGAATTGGAAATATCAGTCTGAAATTTTAGTTTTAAAAAACGTAAACACAGATATAGGCATAGCTATAGATGCATGCACTTACAGGATGCATATACAAAAATATGTGTGGACATATACATACACATACACACAGTTCGTGTTGTCTACCGAGGACCCAGTACATGTGCTCAGATTTCAGTTTCCAAATACCACACTCCACTGAAAGTAGCCAGAGTTACCCAGAAAAAAAGGTGTATTACGAGGATGGGGCAAAGAAAACACAAAGTGAGGCTAGAAGTACTGACTGCTGAAAGCCACAGAGCGCCATGTTCCAGAATGGCGGCAGCACCCACACCAGGTTCCAGAAGTGTTCAAAGACATGGGAATAAAAGCCACCCTGAGCCTCTCATTGCCTAAATGACAATATGAGCATTCAAAATAAGTAAGACTAGTAATAGACTACAACCCATTCGGTAAATTAGGAACTTGTGATACAATACATGAAAAACATCCATGAGGGAGAAGGGAGAGCTGTTCCATACAGTGGGTTCCTATAGAAGAATGACAGAAAACGGCACTGTGGTGTCATCAGTGGAAAACTATCACCGTGGTGACCGATTCAGGCACGGAGACCCAGTGGGTGGAGTCTTGATGAGGAACACCGGTATAATCTCACACTACCTGCCCTGATAGCACTGAACAGTAACTAACGGGAAAGTAATGCCTTCATGGAGGGGAAACGGGACAGACGCTAGCAGAGGACAACTCTGTCATCGCCATGACTAAGGGTTACCCTACAGATTTCAGGTTTGTGCTCTTAGCTATGGAGGCCACCACAGGAAATGACTGAGGAATGTTCCAGACTGAAGACAGGACCACTAACCACAATACGTATTCTTAGATAAGATTCTTGACCAGAAGAGAAGAGACAGCATTCAGACAGCTGGTGAAATCTCAGTAAGGGCCATGCATTAGGTGCTGTGCTGAGTGGACTTCCTGACTTAGAATTTATTTTGTGAATATGTACCTGTGTTCCTTTTTTGCTGAAGACACATTAAGGTATTTAAATAGACATAAGAGCTAAGGCTTAATCTCAAATACTTCACTGAAAGACCGTTCATAATGAGAGAGATATATAAGGGAGCTGGCTAACAACTGGACTCTTCATGTAACTTGCTACACCTTTATTTCTTATTAAGTAATCTTAAAAATTTATTTCAAAGCTTTTATAACAAAAGTAATTACACTTTGTACAATTTCATCTACCTCTTAAAACATTTCCAAAGTTTTAAAAAATTAATATTACTAACTAGGATTACCGTTTTAGGTCTATCAGTTGGGGCTTTCCGGTGGCCAATTAAAACAATGATTTGTGTGGGCAAAGCATTAGTCCAGATGCTAAAAAATACCACTGGCACTGCATGCAAAGGTATGATGCATCTAACATAGAGTGTGTCCCACAACAAGGGACCTACTGACTACTGGTGATCACTAACAATCTCCTAAGGGGCTTAAGGACCCCACAGTAAATTCTAAAGAAAAAAGTTCACATATTCAGATAGAGGTATTTAGCTATAATGTGCTAATTATATTGTAACATACAGATATTTCTGAAGGGAAAACATAACCATTATTAAAAAAAATTACAATTATTAAAAAAATGTTTCATTTTCCTTAAAATGATCCCAAACTAAAAAGACTTTAAAATTACTATGGTATGTACCAATACGTGACAATTCAATTATGCCTAATTTCAAAAGATTTGATCTACTACAATACTATCAAAGTGCAAGGATTATACAGAACTCATTATCATACCATGTAAAGCATCAGTTCTTATAATGACCAAGAAACAAATGACAGAAATTAACTAGAGTATATAAGGTTTGATGAAACATGATATTGTGATAGATTCTGTCTTGGTTACTTTTCTCTCACTGTTGGGACAAAATACCTGATGCCCAAAGTTAAGGAAGGAAATGTTTATTTAGCTCAGTTTGTGGAGGTTTCAGTCCATATTCCGCTGGCTCCAAAGCAGAGTGGCACATGGTTGAGGGCAACGGTTCATGGCAGTGGCAAACAGCAAAAGCAGCAAGAACAAAAGGGAGGAGTGGGCAGAACGCATGCATCTTTCCCTTCCTTATATTGGACGCAGGCACCCCACTTCCAAGGGGCTGTATTGAGGATAAAGCCAGCAATGAGAGAAAAGTAACCAAAACAGAATTTGGTACCAGAGAAGTACGGTGATTGCTGTGACTGTATCTGACCACGTGGTTCAAAAACCTTTGGAAATGGCTTGTGGGAAGAGTTTACGAAGGTTCTGAGATGTCGCCAAAAAAAGAGTAGAGCTGGAATACCTTCAGCTGTGCTGTATGGGAGACTCTGGTCAGAGCTCAGAAGACCAGAAGGCTTGATAGAAATCTGGCTGGTAAAGACTGGGTTCGGGAGGTTTCTGCTGGGAAGAAGGACTGCATTAGTTGTTGGACCCTAGATGATGTGTGTTATGGCTTGGCAGAAAGTTTGTCTGCATTTTATTTTATTTTACTTTTTTTTTTTTCGGTACCAGAAATCGAACTCACAACCTTGCGCTTGCCAGGCAGGCACTTTGCCGCTGAGCTAAATCCCCAGCCCCTGCATTTTATTTGTGTACAGAGACTTTGCCCGAGACTAAGATTAAGGGTGGTGGACTACGTAATCTGGCAGAAGAAATTTCAAGGCAGTCAAAAGTTGAGGCAGTGGCATGGATATTGTTGGAGGCTTTTAGCCAGATTTACGTTGAGAATCAAGAGCAAAGAGCCCAGCAGGATGATTTAAAACACTGTGAGTTTACCTAGAAAGGAAGCTCCAGTAAAGCTGTGGACTGCAAAGATGGAGTTGAGGAGATCTTGATTTCTGAGAAGGAGCAGGAAAACACAAAAGATGGCCTGAAGGCGTCACAAGAAGCAGTAAGTCTCCATCCTTTGCAGTCTCAAAACTACAAAACTGAAAGACTTTTTTTGAGGGGAAAGCCACAGAGCGCCATGTTCCAGAATGGCGGCAGCAGCCACACCAGGTTCCAGAAGGGCGGCAGCATACAGAATTTCTTCCTGAGAATTGGATTCAGAGTACCCAGCGATCCAGGCACTCGACCTCTACAGCCAGAGAGAGGTAAGCCTGGTTACTGCTCCCCTTGGCAGCAGACCTTATTATCATCCACGTGGCACTGGTTTTAGGCGCATGGAGAATACAAAAGTTCTGAGGTTAAAAGGCTTCCACCTAGATTTCAGAAGGCCTGGGAGGCCAGGCAGTGTGCCCCTGTGAGGGCAGTGTGTGAAGCTGTGAGTGTGAAGCGAAATGTGCAGTGGAGACACCAGAAGTTTAGAGAAGCCAGGCACGTGCATTGTCTGAGGTAAGCTGCAAGGAAGAAGCGAAGTGGGCCCAAGAGAAAAGCCATAGGAGCTACAACCACCAGAAATGCCCTAGGGGCTAAGCTTCATAAGGCCTTTGGAGCTCACAAGGTACCACACATTACTTCAGATGTTCCGCATGGAACTATAAGACTTAATGCTTGCCCTGCTGGATGTTGGACTTGCTTTGGTCCCAATGCTTTGTCCTCCTATTCATACTTTTTGGAAGGAAAATGCTTATTTTGTGCCACTGAATGTTGGAAGTGTTTAATTTTTCATTTGGACAGGAGCTCACAAGTAAGAGTTTGCCTTAAATCTCAGAGGAGACTTGGGACTTAGACTCTTCAGCAATGCTGAAACTGTTAGGACTTTGGCAACTCTTACAGATGGACTAAAACACCTTTTGCATAAAGGGTTGTACATGAGTCTTTGGGGGACCAGGAATGGAATGTTACGGTTTGTGTCTGGATGTCCCCCTAAAACCTCATACAGTTACGGGTGTGGGCTTCTAGAGCTTTTGATTGATCCATGGTCCAATGCTGGGATTATGGGTGTGAGTGAGTACTACACCTGCCGTGGGGCGGGGAGCCTGCATACAATATAAGAAAGGGAAAAGGCTTGCTCTCCAAGCTGCTCCTCCATTTTTGCTCTCGTTGCTTTTGCTGTTTCCACCACCGTGAACTGATACCCTCTGCCATGGGCCACTCTGCCTTGGAGCCAGCTGATTATAGAGTGAAACATCCACAAACTGTAAGCTAAATAAACCTTTCCTTCCTTAATTCTGGACATGAAGTATTTTGTCTTAGCAATGAGAGAAAAGTAACCAAGACAGATTCTAAAGTAAATTTAGTATTGGAAAAGTAAGAACAGTTTTCCAAGTGGAACAATTACCTCTGCAAAAATAGGTCATTATGGTTATTTTATCCTATATTAAAATACAAAACATACATCCCATATAAAAGTAGAAAAGAAAAAAAAAAAAAAAAAGAAAAGCATACGGAGATTAGGAAATTCATCAGATAAAGTGTTTTAGAAGCCTGTGAGTCATCACTCTTGGACTATTTTTAGTACATTATTTCAGTGATTTGTACATTTTGTTTCTAGACAGTTTTGAGTAGTGCGTCATTATTCCTCTGTGGACAGGTAGAGCTATTTTTGAGTGATTAAACTCTTGCTCTGTGTTATCTAACGTTCATTCAACCGTAACTTTACAAGCTGACATTTCTGCACATTTGC